AGTCAGCTTTAAGACTCTCATAGCTAGCCTGCAGAGATTCAAAATCCTCTCCAGCTGTTTTGTCTTCCATCGCGCGCGCGATTCTGAAACCAAATGGCAACTTGCCGAGGCTGCAAGCCAACGTCCTTGGCTAGTTGAATTTTCCTCTCTGGCTCAAGCTTGTTCTCTACCTCGAAGCTTTTCTCAAGAAAATGGACTTGATCAGAGGTCAGCCGCCTCTTCTTCTCAGGTTGATGAAAAGTTCATCAAAGTCTTCATCTCCGTTTTCATCATGATCAAAGGGCTAAAGAATGACTGATTACATCCTTTCCCTCGTTTAACATCTTCAAAGCTCACCATGGATCTTGAACCTGAACAAGCAACACAGTAAATCAGAAAGATCATCAAAAAAAGCCATCAATATCATGCTCGCCCAATTTCCTATCCTTTCTTGAATTGATATTCATATAGTTCATTCCATCCATCAGAGTGTTTTGCACAAGTCATTGTTTAACATTTGAGAGCTCAAATTGACAATCAGAAATTTCATTAGTGCTCGTTAAATCTCCGCTTCTATCGCCGCCATCCTCCTAAAAATTAGTTTACATCTTCACTTCGATCGCTTAAATTAATGCTCCATGTGTAAAGTTAACCTTGCAAGCCAAATTAAAAAATTCAAGAGGTTTTCCTACTGGAACAGCAACAATAAGACTTCACGGAGAGTCTTGGGGAATACAACAACTAAAGCATATGAAAGCAGGAACACCCAATAGAGCATAACCAGAGTGAAATCATTATAATCCAAAATCTATACGACACAAATAAAGACAGTTGAGGAACAGAGAAGCAAGTAAAAGCTGAGAGAGAGAGAGAGAGAGAGAGAGTACCAGGGAAAGAAGAGGAAGAGCCAGGAAGGAAAAAGGCATCAAGAGAGTCAGAAGAGGAAGGAGCGGCTTGATTTGGAAGCAAAAGACTCAAATTGGAAGCGTTAGTAAGAGAACCCATGAGGACCCTTCCACCCGTCATTTGAGGAAGACTCCGATCGAAACTCTCAATCAGCATAAAGCTGGTCAGGCGATCCAAGAGAGTAGAATTGGCGCGAAGATCTAAGGCTTGTGGCGGGAAGAAGCTGGTGATTATGATCTCAGTGATGTGGGAGGTATGGGAGCAGCGGTAGCACATACCCATCACTCAGAAGAAGAGGAGCGAAGGGTAAACTCGAGGACAAGTATTGGAGAGAGAAGGAGAGGCAAACAACAATGGCGTGTGGGAGCTGTGAGAATAAAGCACTTATTATGGTCGTTATTGATGAGAAATAAATTGCATTAGGAGGTGAATAAATTTTTTCACTAAACATTGCATAATTTTCAGTACATTTTTTAATTTGGAAATTGTATGTTTATCAATTCATTATGCTTTTCATATTTGTCTATTTTTTTAAAATAGTCTTTCTAATAATTACATATGTTAAATGTTTTATTAAATAATATTTTTAAATTAATACACATGATTAGCAAGAGTATTATAAGAAAGATAAGACCTACTATCTCCGGTCCTTAATATAAGACTTTATTTGACTTTTATTTTGATCCTAAATATAAGATCCCAATCCACTTTGTCTCTCATTTATGCATATTTTTCCAAAATAGTCTTAACTAATACACTTGATTAGTAAGGATATTTTAGAAAAGACAACACCTATTTGTTACAAATAATTAACTTAACTTTTTTTCTTAATCTCTCAAATTAGTCAACTAACTCTTATAATTAGAACTGGAGGTAGTACTTGTTACAAATAACTATTTAACAAATTTTCTCAATATATTTAAATTAGCCAATTAATTTTTATATTACCGGCTTATCATAGTGTTAGTTACAACCACACTTCTCAGTAGAACTAGAAACAGGAACCTTGATTTGTCAAATCAAGATGCGCTAATCCCTCGGGGACCATGAATAGTTTGCAGAGAAAGAGCGGAGGATAAGGGAAGGGCAAAAATAGTAAAAAGCGGGGTAAAGAGGGGATGACAAGGAGGGGAAGAGCAAAACGGGGGGAATCAAAGGCCCAATCACTCGCTTTCTTGCCTGACCCCACCCACCACCACCCCACGCCACGTTCACAATCCCAGTCGGCTTTCCCCAGCTTCCTCTCTCTTGATTTTTACAGTTTTCTATCGCACTCTCCATAATTAATTTTGTTTGAACAAAGTTAGATGAATTAATTTAGACCGTGACAAGTTTTTGTGGCTTATGATTATTTTTAGGCACATTACCTCCTCCCACTTATTCTTAATTTTTAAATCATATTATACACAACCAACCCATAATTGTACACAACCTAATTGGTTACTATTCAAAGGATGGAAAGCCTTCTATGTATATCTCCTCTTTTTCTCCGTGAATACAATATATATTTTATTTATTTAGAACTTGAGACAAATTCTATAATACTGAAAGTATTGAAAGTGAAAACCCTCTCAATAAATATATTTTTTAATATTAGAACTTATATTTTCTCATTTACTGTGGATATCTCCTTTGTCGTTGGGCACCTGAATCCCATAAATCCTAGTATATTTTTGTTTATATAAATGTATAGACGTAAAGGACGGGAAATGTAAGAACTTTCATATTAATTCATTTTAAGAAATACGAAATTTCACAGAATTGGATTCTGTTGTACATTTTTCATTTGACGTGGTTTTCTGACTATAGAATCAAGACTTAGGCCTGTTTGATTTGCTGGAAACGAGGGATCTTCCTAAGAAAAAGGAAACAGAGATGGATTTCTGGTTGGCATCAATCTGATGCCTTGAGTAGGCAATTTCCATCCTTTTCAAGGACATCATTTCCACTGACCAAAATGCCCCTCCCTTTTTCGAAAATACTTCCAATCTCCTCCTGTCAGCTTCCAAAATGAAACAGGGTTTGTTTGGACTCACCATATTTGTCTAAGTTAAAATAAAACTCTTCTGATATATTTATATCATATTTTATAAATTATGATTGAAAGCTGTTTATGAACTAGTTATAAGCCACACAAACTTTTCCAAGGTTGTTCGAAACATGGCCCTAGGTTTACGCGTGGCCTGGCATCTTATTATATTGATTGGGCCACCTGTCCATCTCAAGTCCATGGCCCAGGGACAGACAAATCTGCCACGAAACCGCCCCCAAAGTCACCTCTTTTTTTCCCCCGCATTAAAAAAACGAGGAGGACACAACAATTCAACAAAGGGGGGGACTTAATTAATGGATTTAAGAAAAACTTGTGGGAACAAATTGAGAGAATGCATTAAAAACTCTTGTGACCTTTCAAAGAGTGACACTAGTTCAATCCAACCAATCTTTTTGATATATCTTCTTGTTCTTTAGGTGGAGAGACTATTCTGTAGGAATAAGATATATGTTTCGCATGCTTTGAATTAATTTTTCATTTGGACAGATGTTAAAGACACATTCTCTGACATCATTCTTGCGTTTAGGATATTTGGTCAGACAAGGCATCGGAGGATAATGGTTAAAAAAAAAGGGGAATTAGAAGAGACTTGTACGACATATGGGACAATTCTCATTTTTATTATACATATATTTGATGAGCTAGGTCAGTTTGGCCTCCGTCAACATCTCCAGCTATGAAAAGAGACCCAGAGAAAAAAGTAATCTCTCTGTTTTTTTTTTGCCCCTCAAAATGAAGTAGAGACTTCTTGTCAAGAAATAAGCTTTTGGTAAAAGATATTTGATCCTATGGAGCGATCAGAGGGGAAGGTCGTAATAGGATGGCCAATTGGGCTGAACTGAGAAGGCCCAATGTCGGGCCTGACACATGTGCACCTCTGACCATCCTGTAAGGCGGATTCTTCACGACTAATGAATTATGTGATTTTTTTTTTTTCCCAAGTAACTCAGGACTTAAGGTTTTGTCATATAAATACGAAGAATGTGGGCGAAATTTATCTGTGGTTCTATATGCAACGTGTCATTTCCCTCGGAAAAAGCTTCTTCAAAACATAGGAAATGATAAGCTAGGGATAAACCCACCAATTTATTATTGTTCTTTGTTTACAGTAAACAACTATAAAAGGTATGAGAGGTGACATCCCTCGTCAGGGGATGTAGCTCAGATGGTAGAGCGCTCGCTTAGCATGCGAGAGGTACGGGGATCGATACCCCGCATCTCCAGTTTTCCCCTTTTTAACCTCTGTGGGCCATTGCTTTTACCCACTTTCTTGGGCCTAACTCTGCATTTTGGGCCATACATCCCACCCGATCCACTTTCTTGGTCAAACTTTCCTCAATGTTTTCTGAAAATGAAGGCGCCGCCTAACACTTTCTTAGTTGTCCATCTCTTAACCAAATAATATCCTTTTTAATCCGATAATCATATTTAAGCATTAAGCCGATTCGTTTTTTTTTTCCAAGTTATGGGAAAAATCAGATTTTCAGAAAAAATAACATGAGAAATTATTATTTCATGTTGTTCATATACTCCTTTGATCCTTAATATAAGACTCATTTAACTAATTTGATTAGATTAAAGAAATTAGGTAAGTTAGTTAATTATAAGAAATGTGACACGTTTTTCCTAAAACACCATAATCATCTTTCTTAATACCCCCTTTCATTCTTCTATTTGATTATGGTTGAGGGGTATCCATAGGGATAATTTAGAGAAAATTGATAAATATGAAAAATGGGTCTTATATTTAGGATTAAAACCAACTCAACAATTGGGTCATATATTAAGGACCTGAGGAGTATATTACTTCTTATTCTTAATATAAGAATTAATTGGTATTAAATAGAATCATACTTATAAGATTTTAATTCATTTTGTTTCTTATATTTATAATTTTTAATTAATTTGCTTAATTTAAACTGATATATAATCTAAAATTATATAAAAATATTTTAAAAAGATCACGACACACATTTATTATAATTAAATTATTGAATTGGCTTCTTTAACCTTCTACTCAAATTAGTTAATTGGATAAAAATTTTGAAAAGAGAAATAAAAATAAACAAAAACACAATAAAAACTCATTATTTCTGGATAATTTTTCTGATACACTTTTCTTTGTAATTTTCACTACTCACATCATTAATCAGCCTCTTGCAACCCGCCAAGAACAACGGACCCAACAAACAACCCAACAGCCCCAACCCCGAAGGCAGCAGCCACGATCGCCTGAACCGCCACCAGCCCCGCCGAGTCATCGGGGATCAGAACTATCGTTGCCACGGCCGCCACCAACGCTGGCAGTGCCGCCGATGCCAGCACCGACGGAGAAAATTCCGCCGCTTTCTCCAGCAAGCTGAGCAATCCGAGCTCCTCCGCCTTGGAGAACACTCCCAACTTCTCGATGGATGAGAGCGTAAACCCTAGCTCCTCCGCCTTCGATAGCAATCCCGCCTTCTCCACATTGCTCAGCACTTTCCTTTGCTCCAGCTTCTTGAACACGTCTACCTCCACCTCCTCGCTCCCTTCGTAGAATATTCCCGGCCCGAACCATTCTTTCTTCCAATTTTCATCGTACTTGTTCACCTATTCCATTTCATCAACGGTCCTCATAATTTATCGATCTTGAGATCCAATTTGCGTTATGGAAGCTAAAAGAAATGAAACCTAGTTGATTTTTTGAAATAATTCGTGCTGGATTCTGATTGAGACAGGCTAGCTAGCTACGTAATTTCATAATTTCATGAAAGCAGAACACCGATGAAATGAAACGGAATTTGCAGATAAGGTACGTTACCTTTCTTTTGGGAGCCATAGCCACGATGAATGGAGATTTCTTGGCAGGACACAAGCGGGGGTAGCGGAATTTAGAGGAAAAGAGTTTGTTGCTGTGGAGGCCTCGGAGATAAGAAGTTGAAGATGGTGCATGAACCGCCATGGATTGACGCGAAGCTAAGCTCGCAAGGAGGAATTTTTCTGCAACGGATGACAACTGCCACGTGGGACAGGTAGAGAGAGAATGAGAGGACTTTTTTCTTTTCTTTTCTTTTTTGGCGCATAATGTGATATCTTGTTTTGCGGCTTACGGGATCCTGGGATATGATTTTCCACCAATCATGTTGGTGATCGCTTTATCCTCTAATGGAACGTGGTGTTTTATGGCCCAAAAGTTTTTATTTTCCATGAAAGATATCTATAAAAATGAGACCTTTTTTTTGAGTAAATAAAAATGAGACCTTTATTTTTAAATTATGGACTAAAAATTTGATCCATTGTCAGTTTTCTCCTAAATATTTATTTTTGATTCACTGCTACATGTCAAGACTTCATTATGAAGTGCTTGAGTGTCACCCTACCATGCGAGTCATGCATCCATACCTTGTGCCCTAACCTTCTTTTGGGGGAAAAAAATAATTGAATTGCTAAATGATATAATTTCTATTTTCTATTCATATCTTTGATATTGACCAAATATTATTTCTTCATGTTTAAAGTTAAAACTGAACAGTTGGCCAAAAAAAAGAAAAAAGGAAGAAGTTAAAACTGAACATATGAAGCCCCCTGTTCAGAATTCATAGTTATTGCTAAAAATATCCAGATATCTTAACAAAAGTTATTATGTTAATCGTGCACTGTTTTTTTCTTCATTTTAATCAAATAGTTGACACAAATTGGCATACTTAATGGACACACAAAAGGCCTTTTTTTTTAAAAAAAAATTTCTCTCAAAATTTCTGATGTAGGATTAGCAATAAGGTAGTGTTGGGCTCAAGGGAGGGGAGGGGTTGAACTTTAGTGGTCTCTTGTTGTTGGTGACGGACATTGGACAGTAGACGCCGAAATAAGAAGGCTTTTTTCTTCTTCTTCTTTTTTTTAAAATAATTTAATCGCAGCAGGAAGTAATTTCGGAACAACACAAAGTTAATTAGGGTATTTTAGTAATAAAAATAAAAAATTTGTTCCCTGCCTTCCATTTTTCCCAACCAAACAGTTTTCCCTCCTCTCAACCGCGGTCCGCCTCAAAAAGCCCCAGCCAAACACGCCCTAAAAGCCTTTTATATGCAACCTGGCCAATGGAGGTAACAAATCTCAGAACTTTGTATATATTCTGGTTCTGGATATTTCAACATAATCAGATGTCTTTTAACTTTAGTGTTAACTTGTATCTTTAACAAGCATATCTTAACAGGGAATAACAAATTCAATGACCAAATCATAAAACAAAATTATGCAGGGAAATGCCTAGACTTGTATAATGTACATTGATTGATGCGAAGAGCAGATTCACTGGGTTGGGTTTTCTGCACCTTGTTTGGCTTCTTCAAGCAGTTTGAGGATCTCCTCTTTCTTAGCCTGGAGGGCCTGGATCTTGGAATCTAGTTTTTCAAGCTTTGCCTGAAGTTTTGAAGGATCCTTCTTATCTGCAGGGTTCTTCTTTTCCTTGTCCTTACATTTTTCTTCTTCTCCTTCACCATTCTCACTTTTCTCTTTCTTTTCTTTCTTCTTCTTTTTTTGTCCTTGCACTGTTTTTTCCTCATCAGCAGCTTTATCTTCCCCACCTTCGTCTTATCTTTCTCCTCTTTCTTCATCTTCTGCACCATCCTCTGCTTTGTCTTCCTTTTTCTTCTCAATTTCACCTGCATCTTTAACGTGCTCTTCAGTCTCTCCCATATTTAAATCAAGCGTAGCAGTAGATTTTTGACTTGGTTTCCTGGGAAAAATCATGCATAGGTTTGTTAAAACTGGTTACAAGCTGTTCGAACTTCAAACTATTGATAGCATACCCAATTTCAAGATCAGGGAACGATAGATTTATTCTAGATAACATTACATTCACTGCTCTTACAGTCTTTAAAAATCTACCCGTACCACTCTTGTTTTAAAATTTCCCAGAAACTTCTTTTGAACAGAATTCCAAATGAAACTCGCACCTTATGTTTCTCCTCTTTGAACAAGTCCAATAGCAAAATTAATGAAACACAGAGAGATCAAGTTGATGCTTGTAAAAACTTATAGTAGGAGAAATTAATTTAACATGATCAACTCCAAACAAGAAAATTATTATCATGTGTTTTACAATTTTCAGAGAACGTTCTGGCATATGCATCGAAAGTGGATTATACCAGTGGAAGAATGCATCACCTGATGTCTCGAGTCACTTGGTATTTTGTACAAGGTCAGAAAGATCGATCTGCAACCTTAAATATGCTCCAACAAGCTGGAGAGAAGTTTCATTGGTGGAGCAAAATAATCAACTACCGCACACTAATTCTCAGGTTTGCAGCAATTTTAGCACAAAAGACTAATATCCACCCATTGCAAGCCATTAACGAAAGCTCCCTTTTTTAACTTCTACTATAAATAAACACACCAGGCTTTACCACATGATTACCATTAGTTTTTTGCGTCTCATCTGTCCCCACTTTATCTATCATTGGTTTGGTTCCAATAATTTTGTTTAGCTGCCATATGGAGAGGAAGAGGAATTAAATGAATATCAAAACATTTATTAATTATTAATATAATGATTATGATATTTTTATTATCTCTGCTCAACACATACATATTAATTTCTGATGGTCAAAACATACGTATTAATTTCAAGTTCAAATGTCTTTTCTGCATGATCCCATCCAGCAGTCCAATCGTAATTATGAAGTTGGGCATACTGAGGCACACATTAATGCGTCCAGTGGCGTGTACAGAAATGAATCAAAGATGTCAAAATATTCTGAAGAAGTGAGAATCAAATATATATAAATTCAGGTGTTCTTGCTTCTGTTGAATTGTGTGGCTCCTAAACTGTGACACTGACCCTACAAAGTCAAAAGTTAAAGCTGCCTCAACAGCTACGGTTTTGTTTCAAATTTCCAAGTTGTGTGCAGCTATATCACGTGCTCACACTTTCCTCACTTTTTCTCCAGACGCGTCCATACTATAGTACACCTTCATCATGCCATGTAGTTGGATCCAGTTCAAACCAGAATTTTTTTAAAAAACCCAAACGGAAAAATTAAGAGGATCTTTGTTTAACTGATGGGAATTTGCTCTAACAATATGAGTTAATCCTTATAAATTTTCACTGCAAGAAGTATACATATTTAATACTAATAGCGTCTCGAAAAATTATTTCTAATAAAAGAATATCTATGTTTAGGTAAAAAAAAAAAACCATATTTTCTAAGGTTGGTTGTAAGACACATGATTATGATAACATACAATGATTGTGAGAATTAGAATAGAATGTTACTTTAAGTTCACTTATTTTATTCATGAACAGTAACAAATCGGAACCCTTTCATCCCCACATGAAGAAGCCTTTTTGGTAAAGTAAGCTCATCTTGACTCCAAAACCAAAAATCTGATTGATATTACACAACATATGTAGTGATGCAGAAAAGGAACCGTAAATGCCAATAATTTTTTCTTCTTCTTTTTCTGATATTCCAGAGTAAAAAGAGATCCAATATCATATGCTTTCCCAAACATAAAGCCCCAAAATTTTCTACACTCTCCAAAGCAGGCTATTTGCCCCCAACATCCTTTAACTTATTTCGAGTTTAGAATAGTGACATAGTCAATCCATTCGATAATCTCAAAAAGCGAAAACGTGATGACAACTTGTCACTTTTCTTCATGATCCCCCTACACCCTTTTTCAGATCCTTGATAGTTGTTCCTTTGTCTCACCTCCTTCTCCCTATCTTTCGCTCCACTATTTAGATCTTCACGTCTCAAAAAATTGTCACTGTCAGTCATTAAAAAAAATTTAAAGAAAAGGGCAAGAACAAAAAATGTAGTCCCTTAAATCTACATTAACCGATCGGACATGCTTGGAAGTCGCCGGAAAAAGTTCAAGCTCGCCGGCGGCATTGGGTCCCTAAACATGGGATGACGAAGGTAGTAGAACCCTACGGCCACGGCCACCATTTTTGTGGGCACCACAAACATTATCATTGCAATTACCAAACACACCCCGATGAATAATTTTGTGGCCCTCGGGTCCCTCCAGCCCATCAAGGCTTGTATTCTCTCCCCTTGGGTGGCCAGATCCCCCAAAACCTTCTGGACCCGGGCTGACACCAACCGTAACCTGTCATACCGGATCCGAACTATATCGGGTGGTTTTGAACTCGGGATTGTGTCAAACTCCTCATCTAGCTCATCCGGGTCAACCGTGTCCGCTTGTGACATTCGGGTGTCCATCCCAGCAGGTATTTTGGGCTTGAACCGGTAACACCAAATTCCGATTAGGACCACGTAGAGGAAGGCGAAAGGGACAATCAAATCCGGGTAACAAACAAGCACAATGTATATGAAATGAAAGAATATGGTTGTGGTCGGGTTTTTCCACCTTTTGATATTGTCCACCCATTTTGTCAACCCGATAGCCCATGCTAGAATCCCCACGATCCGAAACCAGTTGGCCTTGCTTTTTCTCATGCTCCAATTGTGTGAGTCCGAATCCAGCATATACCGAACCACCTCATGACCCAACGGTGGATCTTCCTGAGACATCGACTGGATCACCATCTTTGTGGCTGCCCCACGGAGGGCCTCTTGTTGCGCCACTCCAATTGGCCGGAGATAGTGCATTCGAGGAAGCAATGGCTGCCCGTAGACCCGAAACGTGTCGGGCAAAATTGACGAGTAGGCAAATCGAACCGCCAGCTCAATCTCACCCATTTTCTTCAACCCGGTTCTTGATAACACCATTAAAGGAAATGAATTCGTGTATATCTTGTTGCTCTCAAGAGTGGATATTCGTATCCGTACCTTGCCCATACGACAATCGGGCTTATCTTCTGACACGTCGGCAAACATGCGCCAGTTGTCAAACACCCCAACAGTCAAAACTGTACAAGGGTCGTATACCTGCCACGTGTACTGCTCGTTCCAGCGTGGATCAAAGCTGTCCGTGATGGTTCGAGTACGGACCCACTTCTTTCCGTACTTGGCCACACAGTAAGCATCGGTGGACCCCTTTTCCGCGCCTTTGGTTTTCATGGGAAGAAGAGCATGAGCCCCCATTATGCCCAGCTCCAGAATTCCGATCGCCGGCTTCCAGAGATGCTTCTCCGTTGGTCGGAAGTCGCTGCACACGTGCGCCGCTTCGTCAAGCACATGATACCCACCTTCCAGCACAGACGCAGATAGACACGCGCCCACAATAGGACCCACCCTCCAATGCGAACCATTTCGGTGCCACGTGGCGCTCGTCGATGCGTCGCTCGATGGAACTCAAGGGCATTACAGTGCGGCCGAGTGGGATGAATTCGTTGCCGGTGCGTGCTTCTACGACCAAGATCACGGAGTCTGTCAGAGGCTCGCCTGCGACGAACAAGAGGTCTTCATTCCAGTGGAAGGAAATGGCAGGGCGGTTCATCACGGAGCCTCGCATTGTTCGTGCTGACTGAAAACCCAGTTGGACCTTTACTCTAATGTCCGGCGGCGTCAATGGAGGTAGGTTGGCAGTGATGTTGAGGTCTCGAGCTTCGATCACGTTCACCCGCAGGTACCATAGCTTCGGGGATTGGTACACTTTGGGACGAGTGTGAGCCATATACGGCGTGTCCGAGCTCCTAGCTTTTGGGTAAGCATCATCGGCTTGTGTGCCGATCCAGATGGAAAGCTGAATGTCGCCGGAAATCTTCGTGGGACTCTGACCGGAGTCGGCGCCTTCTAGGTGGTACCATTGCGAGGCCACCGGTCTATGAGGAGTGTTTCGCACGGGCACGTCAGAAAGATCGAAGCAAACACCTCCTAGAAATTTCTCAGTTGGAGAGTCCCAAACAGAAATCTCTAAGTTCGCGTTCCTAGAATCGGCGCTGTATCCCAGCGCAAACACCTGGTTCCATTCCGGCGAATCGTGGCGGTCCTTAGGTCGGTAAGTTGCAGGTTTTGATCTGACGAAACGACTGGGCGTACAAATCTTTACATAGGGATTGTCATTCTGAGCAAGCCCACGGGCCTTAATGGCTCTGACGAACAGGTACCGCATCTATGAGGAGTGTTTCGCACGGGCACGTCAGAAAGATCGAAGCAAACACCTCCTAGAAATTTCTCAGTTGGAGAGTCCCAAACAAATCTCTAAGTTCGCGTTCCTAGAATCGGCGCTGTATCCCAGCGCAAACACCTGGTTCCATTCCGGCGAATCGTGGCGGTCCTTAGGTCGGTAAGTTGCAGGTTTTGATCTGACGAAACGACTGGGCGTACAAATCTTTACATAGGGATTGTCATTCTGAGCAAGCCCACGGGCCTTAATGGCTCTGACGAACAGGTACCGCATCGGCTCCACAAAATCATACCGTGGAACCCTCTCCGGTGGCGGTGCCGGTGCGGCCCCGGCAGCCCTGCCGGGCGCAACCGGACGAAGGTAATCATCTCCGATAGGCTTCTTCATATTTCTCACTCTCTCTCCTGCTCCCATTCGGACTGCCTCCAAAATTTTCACTTCTGGAGGGTCTTGGATCTCTGAAACAGTCGCGCCTCCCAATTCTGTCAAAAGTTGATCCTCAGGAAGATTGACCACCTGCGGCGGTGATTCTTCTTCTCCTTCTCCTTCTT